GGTTTCTTTCACATTGCGGGCCACATCGTGGTAGAAATGTCGTGTGGACTTTCTGCACGTGAGGTTCATGAATGACTCCCTTGACCTTTTGTGGACATTCGACATCCTCGTAGTAAACACGATTGCTTATACGGAAAGTGAGGTCACAAAGGAAAAAAATGTTTAGCTGCTTTGAACGTGATTTCTCTGCTGGAAGGAAGGAGGAGGCACGAGCTCCTAACGTGTTGCGTATTACTGGCAAGGCTGGTTGGGAAAGCTCACTGGTACGCGCCGGGGAGAAGTGCTGAACCGCGTTCCTGGTACCGGTCTGGTACTTCTTCAAGTGGCAGGGATCGAGGCTGAAGCAGCGCCTAATGGCAACATTCCCTCTTTTGCAATTAACGTGTGAGGGGCTGCCCTATTTTTATCACCTTTTCTTGCTGTTTGCTGAGGGCTCGGGGCCTGAAAGCTGCGTAAGGGAAGCTGAGGCTCACGTGAGCGCCAAGGCAGGGCGCGGGGTGTGATGGGTTTGGCGTGATGTGGTGCAGCCCCGGCAGGACGCGATGCTGCCAGCTGCAGAGAGCGGGGGGCAGCTGCTGGCCGCGACGCGCTGCAGGTGCAGCGTGCAGCACCCTCAGACGCCTTTTCCTTTGTGTCAGATGTCCGAGAGCAGCCTGGGAACGTTAAATAGGGAACTGTCCTCTGACATCTTCCAGGTAGGATGGAAACAGGAGATCCTGAGCGTTTGAGTTATGAAAGCTCCCAGTGTGTTACCTGCAAGCCAGTGTTTTGACCCCAGCATCCTGGCCAAATTCCAGCTCTGCTAATTACATCCTGCCTATGTGAAAATTCCCCTGCGTTTGTACACAGCCCTCCTTCCCCGCTTGTTTTCGGCAGCTGGGCGGCGTTGCCAGGCACAGCGAAGTGCTTGCCATGTCCCACCCCAGGCCTGGCCGCCTTTCAGCAGGGAATGAAGCGAGCACTGTGCACAGCATCTGCAGGGACCCTGGATCCTTGGCAGGGACGCGTGCCACAGCAGCGCACCCGAGGGCCAGCGCCGGGGCTGGGGCACGCAGCACGGATGGCGATGGCATGAACAGCTCAAAGGCCCCGGTGCAGGGCTGCAGCACCAGGCCGCAGGGAAGGCAGCACGGGCGGCTGGGCTCCCATCTGATTTGGCTCCCCGCATCTCTCAGCTACAGGGCTGAGGGTAAGCACTGATCTAGTGCTGGGAGCTCTCTGACTTCAGGTTGGTTTGTATGGCGTGAGGAGCTCTCAATCCTGCATAAGCTGGCCACCACCAATGCACGTTCACCTTTTGCATACCTGGTTATTGATCAGTGTGGACAAGGGAAGATAAAAGAAATCATTCAAAAATGTATAGATTTGTTTCCTTCTCTTTCACTTCATGACTCATGTACGCACTGCTTTTGGCTCATCCCTGTTGGGAACAGCTCTTCTCAATGGCCCTAATCCTCCTGGTAAAAACCTGACTCACAGCACTGGAGATGAACTGGCTGCTGGATTATCCCCCTCTTCTGAAGAGGACGCGGAGGATGGCTGCAGCAGTAGCTATGGGATTGTGATAATAAAGACTGTGAGTCACAAACAGGAGGCTAATGAACTCAGATATTTAATACAGGGGAATGCCTTATTGGCTCTTCTGCCCAGTTTCTTGTCAGCCAAGAGCTTGCTCTGGTTATGGCATTTCTGCCAGAGTCCTGCCTGAATATGATACGGGAGCACATAAGAAAGCAGAGGTTGCTCCTGCTGGTGCATGCAGAGGCAGCAGCAAAGGCAGGACATGTCCAGGGCAGATGGAGCAGTGACTTGCTGATTTTTTTCCCTGCTCACATCCCTCTCTGATCTTTTCAGCATCTTGATCCCACAGGACAGCAGCAGTGAGAGTTCTCTGTATCCCAAGGGGGGAAAAAACCAGCTTCTGTCAAGGTGTGACGCCAGCATGTTTTCACTAGATCCCAGAAGGGGAAGCATAGCGAGCCTTGAAGCGGGAGGGAATTGTGTTGTCTGTGTTGACAGAAAAGATAGAAGGCTGGGACTCAAAGACCTGAGTCCTCTTGCCACACTGCCTGTGTGATTTCAGGCAAGGTACTTACAATTTTTTTTAGACTTATTATCCCTGTCTTTAAACTGTATTTAGGACTTACTTCACAAGGCTGAGAAGAAGGGGATTAAGCTTTAATTCATTAATGTTTGTAAAACATTTTAGAACTTGGATGGAAATTTCCCAGGTTGTGCAGAGAGCATTAAAAAGCTTATCTCCCTCTGACTGCAAATGTTCCTGTAATATGAGAGAAACGAGAGAAACAGTGCTTGCATTTCTGTGTTTATAATAATAATAATAAAAAAAACTTACCCTCCAGCTTCCCCTCTCTATCTCTCCATGTTTAAAAAAAAGGAGAACCAGCAATGAGAAATTTTAGTCTAAACAGAGTGCAGTTGCTCCCTGGAGACCTGAATGTGTCTCAGTGGAATTTTCCCTGCCTTCAGCCTTTTGTACTTCTGAAAGGTCCTGGAACCAGGCATGTGACTGTAAGAGCAAAAAACACTTCTGTGTCTGAGTGCTCTACCAAATATTTACAAGATACCCAGATAAAATGGCTACAAGCAAGTTCAGCAGGGTTTGACTGACCGGGCAGCAGTGCAACGCTGTCAAGAAGAAAATCTAAACTTTAATTAAAACAAAATTAAAATGAAATTTTACAAAGGTTTCTTCAAAGCACAAAATTGGTAACACTAAAACTGGAGAACTGCTCTTCCCCAAGGTGAAACCTATTAGCTTTTAAAAGTAGTTTATTGAAGTGGAGTAGCTTACTTGTTGTGATGGAAACTTGGAAACTTCCCTGTTCAAGGAGAGCACAAAGCTGTGCGAGCACGCGTGTAACAGGATAGCTGAAGCAGTCTGCTCCACGCCATCCTTTCAGGTGGTTGGGAGCAAAGGGACATCGGCTTCCACACCCCAGCACCTCCCCAGCCTCCTGCACCGCCGCTGTAAGGGCACGCAGTAATTTTAACAGGGTGCTCTGCTCGTAATGCTCTGCTCTCCAGGAGGCTGCTCAGAGAGGCTTCCCCGTGAGTGCAGAGCACAGAACCAGCCACTTGGGCCGAGGGGGACCGCAGCAACCCTCGGCACTAACTCAGCACACACAAGGCTGTCCTTAGGGTTGTGAGGCTGGAGAGCTGGGAGCAACTTGGTCCTGATCACAGCCCAGCCAGTGCCTTCAGCGGCCTTGAGCAAGTCATACACTCAGTCTGGAAGGTGAGTACGTAGTGCTGTGCTTTGCAGTCATGTTGCAAACGCTCCAACAGTGCTTTGAAGGTAGAAGAAGCTAAGCAGCTGTAACACACGCCAGCCTTCCCACCATTTGGATTCCTACCTGCTCTCCTTCGCTTCTGAACTGCCAGTACCCTGCTACAGCCAACTCTGTTACATCATCCCTGATGATTTACAAGAGAATTACAGGAATAAGAGCCCACAGAACTATCGCTTCTTAGTAAAACCAACGAGTGGGTTTACCATTTCTCTTAAAAAGCAGAAGCGAACATTTCCCTATGTTATGGGCTGTGGAAAGCAAGTGCTGTGCGTTTGTCAGTTCCTGCAGACTGGTGAGGTGTAGGGGTGAATTCGGAAGGTGTGTGTGGCTTATGTTTCTTCACTAGCATTTTAACCTGAACAAAATTCAGAATTTTCATAATTCCAGAGTTTAATATGGCACCTCACATACAGAGAACAGCATCTGCTTTTGAAGTTAGTCTTTAAAGAGGCAAAAGAAGAATGCCTGAATTTTTGAAAAAGTGTTGTTTATTCATTTCTCAGTGGAGTTTGCATTTGCCCTTTCTATGGATTGGATAGATGGCCAGGAGTCGCACCAGTAGTGCGGGGTAAAGCAACATCAGCTAAAGTATTTTTCAAGACAGTGTTTCTCACTTGTATGGTCTGCAGGGCAGGATTGGTTCCTTCCCAGGTTAAATCTGATTGATCCTTTCCATCTGAAACACACAATAAAGACAGAACCTCAATAGCAATGTATAAGACTGAGATGACAAAGTTAGTATTTCCTCCGGTGAACAGCCACTTGGAAACCTGTTTAATCCACAAAACAAATAAAGGTACATTTCAGTATAAATTAATTTCACAGATTAGTTGAAAACGGATTAATTTCTGCGTAATGATCCTCATTCTGCTGCCTGCCTGGTTGTCCTTCTAGTTACCAATATCCAGACTCATTCCCATTCTGTGTGGCAAAGTTTCTGATGCTCCTCATGCTCTGGAGCCAAACCTTAGCACAGTCCAGGCCCCTCTGTCACCCCCTGGCAGAGCTCTCCCAGCTCCAGTGTATACTTGCTGAGGAGCTTTGCATCACTCTGGTTTCCCAGTAAAACTGTTTTTTGTTAGCCAGAGCCTATTAACAGAGAATGGGATGTGCAAAAAGACTGACATTCTCTACCACAGGTTTCTCTCTACAGTTCAAACACGTTTCCTAGAGTTAAGCAGAGCACAGCTCATACCAGTATATCTTCCAACTATTAGCAAATTGCCTTGGATTCAGAGCAAATATTATGGCTGCGCCCTATGTGCTTTCCTAATGCCTCGGCTGAGAGCAGAGCCTCCCTCCTAACCAGTACGAGCTGTTCCATTTTTAATCTTGGTCCCATGTCAATGCCAGGAGGTAAAGTGCTTTGGGATTAAGTTTACTATGTAAACAAAGAATATTAAATTACTGTGATTAGACACCTTATGGACAAAATGGACTGCTTTTTGTGAGAGGAGATATTAAAAGACAAAATAAAAGCATCCTTTAATGCCTTTCTAATTGACCTGCAAACTGACGGAAAGAACACAAACTGAAGAAACACACAGCGTTATTAAGACCAAAATACCCAAGGTCAAAATGAATCATCAGTCAGATCGTGTCATGTCCTCCTGTTCACTGCTATTAAGTGCATTGCAAGGTATCACGCTCCTACTCAAATATGTACTTCTCTTCCGATTTCTACAGCTGATCTGTTGTGACAAGCTCTGCCCCAAGGACCCTGCAGAACAGCCAGCTCCTACCGGGCCGATCCCTATTGGGCTGTATCAAAGCCTTGAAGAAAGTCAATAAAGCTGAAAGGAGGAGGATGCAAGGCATGGTATTCCCCTGCAACAGGCCATGACATTATTAATATTAACTGAGGGGATATCATAGAAGAATCAGGAGGCTTACACAGGTTGGCAAGGTAAGCTGTAGAGAAAATGTAGAAAAAAAATGTAGAGAAAATCCTTTCTGTGAATTTACTGGGAGAGCCTAAAGAATCAGTGTAGTTGCCTACACTGTGCCTTGCTTGCAACAGGGCTGGCAGTAAACGTATCTGAAAACACGTTTCTCCAGAAAGATAAGAAAGGGAGTAGGTGAGCAAATTCTTTCCAAAGAAACTACTCTTACTGAGCCTTTGGGAACTTTATATCCTTATCCTATTAAAACAAAACAACAACAAACAAACAGACACACACACACACACACACACACACAGATACACAAATAAAAAACCACAACTCGGCTCCAAAAGCCCCCAAAATAAGAAACCAGTTAATGGGAAAAATAACATTATTTTTAGTTGATAAAGTCCCTCAGCAAGGGAACAGAAAATACCATCTGTCTTCAAGAATTTAGGCATTCCGCAGTCATGATGCACTAGGCTTACAAACATTGTCATTCTTAGCACATTAAAGCTGATGTAAAAGATTTTTGTAAATGTTGGATTAGCCAACTAGATTTCTGGGCCTGAGATAACATAGCAAGTATGCATTTTCACTACACTATCTCTTTTTTGGTCATTTGTTTGTTTCTGTTAAACTGTGACTTTTTAAAAAATCACAGGAATTTTGCAAGTATGTTTAACACCACTGCTTCTTGAACAGCATCATGCAGGAATGCCAGGCCTAATGAATCTCAGAGTTTGTAAAAGCAGTGGGTCACAGATTTCATCTATAAGATACTACAGCTTTTTCCTGGATTTCAGTAAGGTCCATTTTCCACCAAGCAGGGTTTGTATTGGAAGCTCAGTTGCAAGTTCAGCCAAAGAAAGACACCATCCATCCGTCATCACAAATTATAAACATTAAGATAGCTTTTTGGCATTGGCTTTCTAGAATAACCACTCATTATTACCAGGTATCAAACAGTTCCCGTTGATCTTCTATGGCATAGCGTTACCCAGTTGTGTCCTTACCTGAAGTAGGCTGATGCTACATAAAACTGCCTGGGTTTCTATACGGGCTCTCATTCAGCCTATTTTATTTTCTCTGAGTGATTCAACTGGTGGAACTGGCCTAAATGATTATAGGCAAGCACATGTAACCCTTTCATGGGGCCAGAAGCCATTGCAAAGCTATTTGTAGTGTATGTATGCAAATCAACTTCAGTTTAAGATAGTCTGGGAGAAGTTTGAGGGGGATTTCCCTGCTTTATGTAATCTATTGTTGCTTCTTAGCTTCCTCTATTCACATGGCCAGGAGGCATAAGCATGACACCGCTGGTAATTTCTCAAACTCAATCTGAAAGCAAAGACAATGTGCTCGGTGACCTACAGCAGCCTCGCAGCTTTCGGTAAATCCTCAAACTCTGGCTCAATGATATCCGGAATAAGGGCGGCCTGGAGGAGAAGTGGGGGAAACAACGCAGCTGGTAAGGGCTTGGCTCACTTACTGGCATGCTTCGAAAGTGGTTGACAGCCAGGGGCATCGATGCGCTAGCCCTCAGATACAACTCCGTCCTACCCATAGCTCTCATTTACTGTTCCCAAGCTGTACAAAGCGCCGCGTCTCCCGCGTGATCGGTGCCCTCAGCTCAGAGTGGGATCAGCATGGGGCGGTCAGGAGACCAGACTGCCAGCCACACCGCCTTCCCCTGTCATTCCCAAGTGGTGGTAGAGAAAAAACTGGTCTCGCTCATGTGCCCAGGCAGATCTAGCAAAGGTACTGAAATGACAGGCCGGGCAGGCAGAAGCCCTAAGGCACGTCCCCCTCAGGTAGGGGAAGCAGCCCCCAAGGAGCTCCGTGCTGCTGAGAGCAGGCGGTGCTGATGCCCAGGTGAGCCTGCTCAGCACCACCCAAATATTGGTCTGTGCACGGCACTCTGTGCTGTGCCGATTGCAGTGTTATCGCCCCAGATAGGAAGATTTATAGTTCAATAGCTACCCAGATTCTGAGAAACAGGCTTACCAAAAACCACAGCTAAGGAAAATATAACAGGTGAAGTAAGCGTGGTGGTACCGAAGAGGAAGGAAACCTCTCTGCAGCGCACTGATAAGAGCACGCTTGATACAAACTGTGTTCAATTTGGACAACCCACAACCAGGAAAGCACAGGCTAGCTGAAGGAAATTCAGCTCGGAGGCTCTAGGGACTGAATCGGTCTGTTAAAATGCTTTGCTGGTTTTATGTATCTCTACTTAATTAGGATGCTTAATGAACACATTGGAAAGATAGTAACTGTTAAATATTCAGCAGGCTGGCCTTTCAGTTACAATATGACAATTCTGAATAAAGTTCTCGGAAAGCTTGTCCTAGGTACTCCAACAATGCCAAAGGGAACTGGACTGGAGGGGAAAAAAAAAAAAAAGTAAAAAAAAGTAGGGCACTATTGTGGAGACCTGGCTAAAAACCCAGGCCTTGCCACCAGCCCATTGAATGATCCCGGGCAAGTAGTCTCCTACTCTGTGCTTCAGTTCTCTCATCTGTAAAAACTGTACAATGATGCTGACCTTCCTGGTAAGTTGTCGAGATGACCGAATAGAAAAGCTGCAATACATTATTCATTCCTAATTTCAATTTCTGAGGAACGAAAGGCAAAGAGAAGAAGCAATCAAGCTTTCAGGTTTCCTTGATCATCATAAAAAAGGAAAAAGCACCATATAACATGAATTTTGTGCAACAGAAATGTTTAGCGAGTCACCTTTAAGGCGGAAGAGTGGAAGCACAACTAAAGAAAGCTAAAAGTGGGCAGACTCTCAGGAAAACACTCCAGATGGTGAAACGAGTTAGGCTGCAGAACAGGCTCCCACAGGAAGCGGTGAAACCCCCATTGTTTCAGACATTTGAAACTGAATTCTTCAAAGTGCTGGTATATATAATACAAGGAACCGCTCTGCACTGCCTCGGAGATGTCAGCAGCGCTGGGACAATCTGTGAGAGCTACACACACCACTTCTGCAGCCCTTAGCAGAATTGTTGCTGCCGTGCCTACGAGGAGATGTAGATTCTCTTTTGATCAATACAGTAGCTGGGAACATCCATCGGGGAGTAACTACACTGTGGTTTTGCAGGAGATGGATTCAGTAACCCTGAATAGCTCTTTCACATTCCTGCTTCTGAGATCTGAACTTTGCATGTCCAAGAGGGGAAAAAAGCCACCTCTACCAGGTGACTACGGTGTGCATCCTACAGACAGACTGTTTACCTCCTATATCACAAACTAATGAAAAACTGGGTGGCTTGATATTTACAGGCAGAGGTTTGCAGAAGTACCACGATTTTAATAGGAACCAAATGAAAGCTCATTACGTAAACAGCATTATGAGACGCAGAACTGATGTCGAAACGCTAAATGCTCTAGGTCAAACTCACCAAAATGGGAACTGGCAGTGGCTTGCTGGAATGCTGGGGCTTCTCCACACTCGGATACTACTGCAAACATTTCCCGCTGCTGCGAGCGCTGGTTCAGCTCCTCTGGAGGTAGCTGCGGAGGGAGCCTGACTGCTTCTGTTGTTACTGGCACTCAAAATCTCAAGACCTTTTCTGAAATCCAAATTCAGAGCCTTGGGCCAATTTTATTGATACAACTTGGTTTACTGGTTGGAGCAGGTAGAGGGAGAGAAATTTTTAAAAGGAGCTTAGAACTGGAGCTTTAATGCCTTCATTTCCTCTTGGTCTCATACCTGCTGGTATGCTAAGAAAGAGGCAAATTGATTCAGATGGCATAACTGCACTGGTGACCCTGCCTGGTTTTATTCACTTTGGCTCTGTACAGCCTTCTCTCACAGGCTCCCTGCCTTCAACACTCCCATCTTCGTGGTGACCCAAACACGTCAAGTCTCGAATCCTCCTTTCTGCGGGGTGGGGAGGGACAGGGGAAGGCAGCTGAAGAGCCTGCCCGGGGGCAGGACGAGCACGAGTGCTCCGGATCCCTTGCAGACACTGGGCTCTGCGAGGCCTCGAGCGCCGCGGCACGCTTCACGTGAAGGCTGGCACCGCCTGCCTGCTGCTGCTGGCCCGGGCCAGAAATGCAGCAATTTCCTTAGGAATGAATCACTAACAGAAAACAAACAAGAGCTATTTAAGAAGTTTCTCTTTCCCCCTGAATGTCCTGTCCAGTATCATATTCCTGACAGTTTATTCTTCAAGAATTTAGTCATCTAGGGTTTCAGTGACTCATCTGATGAACCTTCTACCCATTTCCTGGAAAGAGTCCTGTGCAGTCCGGTGCAGCCCTACTCTCATTCTTCCTACATTTTCATGTATTTCAGCTTTTCTCCATTTTAAGCGCGGGGGAGAGGCAAAAATATTTTGAATGCACCCGAATTTGCAATGCAACCGGAAAGCAGAGTGGTGAAAGAAACATCTGGAAAACAAAGATGGGCACTGAATCACAGAGCCTCTTTTGGAAGAAGCTGCCCCTTGGACGGAAAGCTGGAGAGAAGAAAAGAAGCTGCTGTAAGAAGAGCTGTGTGGTACAATACGGTCATGAATTTGCCAGAGCTGTACCCTATAAAATGAAGATGAAAAAGATTTGAAGGCTCTCACACATTGCATGGGCGGGTGTGACTCACTCTGGGCAAATGCCACTGGTGACAAGTGCCCTGACACAAGCTATTGAATGAATGGGGCTGGATGGGAACCAGAGTAACTGTTCTACATATTGGGGCCAATCTGAAAGACACTTCTGTGCAGAAAACAACTGCTTCCTTTCCTAATTAAAAAGAAAATTCCAAAGCTGCTCTCAGACAGCTTGAAGGCAACTCTAGCAAACTCTGATTTAAGCTGCACGATGCCTGCAGCAGATGGCTGACATCACTGGTGTCCAGACCATTCCTCCCAGCACATACAGGTGTGCTACCGTATATATTTATGCTACTGCTGAAACAGGGGGCTGGTGTTCTTCTTAAAATATTCAAAACTGTGAGGGAGCGTGAGCCCATCCACGTAAATCCCAGCAGTGTGGAGCAGCTCGGAGACACCACCAGCCTATGCTCCCAGCCCCCTGCCTTCTCCTGGGAAGTCAGCAGCTGAAGCACCACCGGCTTACACTAAGAGGGTGAGCGAAGGAATTGTGAGATCTGTCTGATGCAGGCTGGGACAACATGTCAAGCATTCTTGGAGGATGATTTCAGCGCTCAGTTATACGAGTACCACTGGCATGTATACCGTGTGTGTACATGCAGAGATACGCTGTGTATATACACCGACGTGCATCACAGGCCTGATCCTTTTCAAGGGATACAGTGTCAGGTCAAAGCTGGCCCGACATTCTTCTTATTGAAAAATAAATAAACTTTTACAAGCCCTGATTCCAACAGAAATGTTTCCATGATTTATTTTAAGAAGGGAACATTCCCCTGCAGTGCTCACCGCAACCCAAACATTGCAGCGCTGTGCAAGAGCATGAGAACCAGAGAGGAAACTGAAGAATCTATTTTCACTGCTCCAGAAGAGAAACACAGAAAGTAAACAAACAGCAAAAGCACTGACAAATAAATTTGATTTCAGTCTTGGCTGCATTGTTATCTGTACTATGGCTAAGGAGACTAGACTTGAAGCATGCATGTTTTTCTAGCGATTTCTGTAAGACGTGACTGAGTGTGGGATGGGGACTTGTGGGAGCCATCTACACTAGCAAAGGGATTTATTTTTCTTTGTCTGATCCTTCCTGCTCCTCATACCTTGCCTTACACATCTGAGAAACTGAACAGCAAACCAGAAGAAATCGTCTCTTTCAAAACTAGAAAATAACTCGAAGCTTAGGCAAGCTATCCAGGAAATAAATCCCTTGTTTGTGGGAGAGTTGTTAACTCTTGAAAGTGATGGGAAGAGTCTTTCTTCTAAATATCTGGAGCCCTCCATGCAACAGAAAGTGAAACCTGCCTTCGGTACTACTGCCTTTTGCTTTGATAAGTCTGCAAAAAGCAGCAAGCAGTAGGATAAGAAAAACAGGCATATGGAGAGAGAAAGAATGAGCAAGCAAGCAAATGCTTTCCTGACAAAACTACAGACTTGTGTGATGACTGCATTTGGCCCCAAGAAATGCACACACACATGCACACACATATACACGCACCTCCCACCCCCTCAATGCCTCAATCTGAACGGTCTGTACAGAGAAGAGGGAAAGAAAAAAATGTCGTGAAGCCTGTCCAAAAAAGACTGCGAAGATAGAAGTCTACTGGCAGCGTAGTGATCGCACCAGAAAGGTTTTGGAAGCGGTAAACAGGAAATGGTTAAGTAAAAGCAGGTGGAGCATGCTGACTGCAGGAACCAAGCAGGAAATAGCTGAGCGTCTGAATGGATGCAAAAAAAAAACTCTCTTGCTCAGCCCTTGGCAGTCGCAGCATGCCCACTCCTCCTGCTCCCAGTCCTCCTCCACCGCCCTTATCTCCCCAAGCTACAAAGTCTTGCAGTCAGCAAACACCTTTTGCTTGAGCAATGCGCTCGCCTTCAATTTCAGAACCAGTGCCGGAGGCTTGGCAGGCAAGGCTTATGTTCTGCCTGGGAGGCAGAGGAGAAGAGGGGACTCACACACGGCGCCAGGGATGGGTCAGGAGCACCCAGTGCCTGCCAGAGGCTTCGGGAGCTGCAACAGTGCCTCTGGCTGCAGCCCCAGGTGCCCTGGTCCTAAGGGTATTTAGCGTGATAGTGAATCAGAGGAACATTTTACCACCCCGCTCGTTCTAGGGGGCTCCCAGAGCACTCTGCTGCAGGATTCATTCTCCATCACTGCTGAAACAGCCCCTTCTGGGGCAGAGCCCTGCAGCTGTTTAATAGCTCACAGCAACATCGCACAAGCAGATGGAAAAGAAAGCGAAATGTGTAAGGAGCGTTCTTTCCACTTTCTTTCCATCCTTCCCTTTCTCTCCTCTTTCTCTACAGCTTTTCTTGCCAGCTCCAGACGACTCCAGATGTGTGTCTTTCCCACCAGTATCTGAAGACATTTGGCTCTGGAGCCGGGCAATCTGCATGCCAGCATGCTGCCTGCTGGGGCTGCCAGCCCCGGGGGCTGCGGTGCTGCTGCCACGCTCTCGCCCCTGGCTGTCCTGCCCGATACGCTGCTGGATGGAGGGACGGGGTGCTGGTAGGGAACAATTCTGCTTTCTTCCAGATGAGTACAGCCTGGATGTAAAATTGCTTAACGCAGATAAGACACTCTTGCCTTCAAAGTATGTCAGTCACATTAAAGCCCTGAGGAAAGTTAAGAAAGGAATACACACATTATTTCTGCCCTCCTCTCCTAGATTTAATCTGAAAAAATATCTGTTTTCCTTATATTCTGAGCAAAGAAAAAAGTAATGGCAATCAAGCTTGTATGGAGTTACAAGTACACAAAAGAAAGTGTTTTACTAGTAGAGAAACCTTACAAAGAAGTCCTGCTCATTTTTGACATCATTATTTTGGCAAAACTCACCAGGTGTTACTGGGAACTGTTCATCTTTTAAAACAGAGAGCTACCACATACAACCCAACACCTTTCAGAGGCTTAAGTCCTAGTCTAGGCACAGCATTTGTGGTTCAAACTCATTTTTCAGGCTCAAACCCACCCTGCCCAATCTCCAACATCCCCTCTTCTGCCCAGGCTGCACCTTCTCGGTTGGGGGTGACCAGGGCCTGGCCCCCTCACTGCTGCTCCCCTGGGAGGGGGCTGAGGGGCACTGCCGGGGCTGGGCTTGCTGGGTGCCTCCTGCAAGCACCCTCACTCAGCCCCGGTGCCGTGATGCCTAAGTGCACGGAGAGGACGTGTCCTGTCAGCGTGGGTGGGTGGCAGGACAGCTGCTGGGAGTTAAACCTCGGCACTGACCTTTGAGGAAGAACAGGCTGTGGTTCGTACGCATCTCAGAAACCCAGGGAAAGTGACTGAAATGAGCTGAACGAAAATAAGCAGGTGTCTCTCTCCCGCTCCTTTCGCAATTTCTGCTCACCCACCCGCATTTTTTTTTGCACTCAAGTTGTCAAGAAAAACGGCAGGAATGAGGTTCCTGGTATAATTACAGCTTGCTGAGAAAATCGCAGCCTGCAGCAGTAATTCCTTCAGTGCTGGAGACAGATGCTGCTGAGGTCTAATCACAGTGTTCCCACTAAGCAGGCCCCGAGTCTAATCTGTCATCAGCTGAGAGGCCGCTGACTCCTGCCGCGTGTGAACCGGAGCTGCTCGGCCTGATCCTCTCCCCCCGGCCGGAGCAAGGCAGTGCCAGAGGGAGGGTATGTTTCCATTCACTCCTTGCCCTCAGCGACAGCGATACTGCAACTTCAATGCACTGCTTATCTCTCCTCCATGCCTCCTATCAGGGCCACTCAAAGCCTCGCTGGAAAGGGCTCAAGTGCTTGTTTTCAGCTTACAATGCCGTATAGTGACTGCAGTTCAAAAATACAATTTGAGCTGAGATAAGTTGAAGGAGAGGCTTAATGAGAACGGCCTGTAGCTAATTCCTCCTTCCAATATGTATGGTATTTTCTGCTTATTAGGAGGACAAGGCTGCTGCCCTCGGTGAATGATCTTATAGCCCCTGCATGCTAACATCAACAACAGAAAATCAAGAGTACGAGTACAGGCTGATGAGCACAGAAGTAGGAAGAGGAAAAAGGAAAAGTGCTTATATTGAAAAAAGAGCTGGGAGAGAGCACACGCGTGAGGAGAGACTGCACGCATCTCCTATGGGTTGCACACAGTTGCTATTGCCATCAAATGTTCTCATGTTAAAAAAACTGATGTTCTGTAGCAGCCTGTGGCCAACTCCATTTCTTAGTTTTCAGCAATTTTTCTCAACCTGCACGTGGTAGCTGTGTGGACACGACGATGTACATATACCAGGTCTCTACAGAAGCGATGGATATGGTGGCTTCTCCATCACTGAGGAGGGAGGGGGAACAAAGCGTGGCACGATGTCTCAAAGAGGGGAAGGAGTGACTCATACAGGAAGAAAAACAAAGCAAAGATGAACTTAGAGCACAAGAGAAGAGGTAGACTGTTGGCTGCAAATCAACATTCTTGCACTCAGAAGGGTGCGCATTACAGCGTGAGGAGTTGTGCTTGACAGTAATGGAAGTCCAAGGAAGTTTGATTAAGATTAAATGGCAGTCACTGGCCAACACAGAAAAGAGGCATTAAGGTGAAAATCAAAGACAGGAAGTGACTAAGTAGGTCAGAAGCTGTGGGTAGTGAGCTGGATAGATTAAGTGGGACTTGGAGCGACTAAGTTAGCTCTGCTAATGACACATGATAACACGCATAACGTCGCCAAGTTTAACAAATCTGACTCTGAAATCACCTTCAAGGTCCTGATATCAAATCAGAGATTGCTGAGCTCTAATAGTATCTACATCAGAGCAGATAATGTATGTGTTTTAACAAGAGATTGGTTTTGCAGTCACTTTTTGACCCTGCCAAGCTTCCTGTAAATAGTACGCTGTTTTGACTGAACAGGATTTTTTCATAAGGACTGAGGAAAAACGACCTGACTAATAGGAACTGTTTGACTCTGAGAAGGGCAGCTACTGCAGATTGAAAAGACAGATGCAGTGGAGAAACTCCTTTCCAGCCTAAATTCAATAAGTCTTTGATTCAGCAGCTTTGTTTGTATTCTGGAAAGCCGGAAGAGAACGGTCACCTTGTATTTTTGTACCTGATGAGAAAACCCCAGATTGTGTGTGTGCACTGGGACAGTTCAATGTGCGTCTATTGCATCTTCAAAGAGGCTTTCAATGCTCTTTCAGATGTGGGGTGTGAGGAAGGGTGAGAACTGCTAAAGCTAGCCCCATCCTCATTAAATCTTTGCCCTCTCCGGAGCAGGCATGCAAGTGGAGAGAATAGAAGATATGCATGAGCAACTGAGCATCTGTGGCCTCATGACCTTTGACTGTTGTATTATGGGAAATGTATTCTTCGGTTGCTATGCTTTTCTAATTCATTTGTATTTTCCTTCAGTGACTCCCTTGTATTTTCTTTGGTGCTCCTGTGTAATGGTTTCAAGGAACCACAGATAGCTCCCAGTTAAGCATGCATACAATAGCTTTAATTAAATGTTTGCAAGTATCCCACAGTAATGCAAGGGAAAGGGAAAGCAAACAGCTTTTACTGGCTTGTACCTATCCCTTCTGAGCCCTGCCATGGGTGAGGGCATCTGCACTGCTGTCCCTTGAACTCATTTCTAACCTGATGTGAAACGAAGGCCATTGCTCTACACATAAGCTCTTCAGGCATTTTCACACCCAGCAAAAGAGCTCCAGGTCACCTGTGAAAGGTACAAGGCTGACACCCTTTAGGCCAGGCTACAATAAATTTGAATAAATAAATACATAAAAAACAGGGAAAACATTCTTTACATCACTTAAAGAAAAAAAAAAAAAAAAAAAAAAAAGGAGAATAAGGTTAAAAATAACCATTTCTTGAAATACACCCAAAAAGTTGGTATAGGTAGGGCAGCAGAAAAGCAAAGTTTTTTTTTTTTTTTCAATATTCCGAGTCTAATCTTTTCTGTTCTCCATGTTATTAGCAAAATCTTAGTCTTGTCACCCTCCTCCCCTCCTCCCCTGTAATGAGTTACCTATTTATTATTCTCTCCAACGGGGATCTTTGTTTCTTTTACAAGTAGTTAACTACAGCATTTTATATGTAAAGAAGAAAGCTGTAAAGGATTTTTTTTTCTTTTCAGGCATTTAAAATAACTATACACAAGGGAAATGAAATTTGGAAGGGGAACTTTTAACATGCAAAGACAGAGGAATAAGAAACAGGATGCTAAGATCATCAGTCAGTTCTTTAAGTCAAATACAAGTCAATTTTACAGCACAGGAATAATGTTGCTCTATTTAGAGGATAATGTTGCTCTATTTTGTATTATATGGAAGATTTGACAGTATCTGCAAGGGTAATCATAGAATCATAGGATATCTTGAGTTGGAAGGGACCCACAAGCATCATCGAGTCCAACTCCTGAAACAAGTCCAACTCCTGAAACGAGACCTAAAGGCTAGTGATTATTTCTAATACTTAATACTAGTATAAAGTATTTGTCTTGAATATTTCAGCGACTGACATCATTATTATTTCAAAGTTGAGACAAGCTAATTTGAAAACACTTTGGTCTGGCTGTACATATATTATTGCAAATCTATCCACTATTTCTCAGTGACTCACAGAGATAACACACATCAGAAAAGATAACAATAATTGTAAGACTGGAAAGAAAGAAAGAAAAAAAAAAAAGGCCAATTTGATGACAGAAAAAAGAAGCCAGGCTTCTAGCTTTGATCTTGGATATTTCCCTGCACTGAGACCAGAGGCACTGCCAGTTGTTGCAATCTGATGTGCTGGATTTGGCCAGGGTTTGTGCTGAACAGGGGCTTGCCTAGCTTTGCCGGAGCTTGAGGTGCGGTGACTTTTCAGGAGGGAACAGAAAGCATGGGCTGTTTCCCTCACGTAGCACAGCACAAACAACAGCGGGGTTGTCTGAGAAGATTGAGAACTGCTGACACAAGACAGTAACAGGAACCAGCAGCTGCAAAGGAGAGTAGGAGTGGGATGAAAAGCAGTCTCACCAAGCAAAGGAGGAAAGGAAAAGGCCAGGGAAGATCTAAAATTAGAAGCAGCTAGCAGATGCTGACAGAGACTTCTCTTGCTTGATGGTCCCCATGAGACCATGCACAAGCAGGGCAACACAAAGATTCCTACAAGGATTTCTGGGATATTCTTAATGAAGATTTCTACTCTTGGTCCGCCTATTAATCTGCAGTCTGCATTTCCATTGCATCTTAACAAGAAGCTTCTTTTTAAATACACCTGTTTTCGATGATGGCTGGGAGTCAAGAAGTGTAATTCCTAAAGGTGTGTGAAGAAAAGGTCGGATCTGCGCTTCATCTTCCTTCTTCACCTGTGCCGTGCCTGCCTGATGCTCCCATTCCTGCCCACCAGTACAGAGGGCCCAGTACAGCCACTGCAGCAAGGACGCAGTGCAGTGGTGCATTCAGGGCACACAACGTGGGCTTGTTTGGGTTTCTGGGTTTCCGGCTGTGATTACAGAGGGTTTTGATTTTTGTTCTTTGGTTTTCTGAATTATTTGCTCAGGCTGTCCTAAGAGCTCTGCTCCATGTAAATGTGAGCTCGCACGTACTCATGTTTATAAGCTCAACAGCTCCATCAGTTTCATTTTTATTCTCTTAGAGTTTTCTGTATGTCATTTCTATTCTTTCACTTAGTATTGCTAGTATCTCACCTGTCTGTCTTAGGCCTTGGGCCTCTATAAGTACATTCAGATTTCACTGGTTCATCATTTTCTACTTCCCTTTACTAAGTCATAACTACTACTGTTCTCCAAACACATGAAAAACTTAAAGCTAGAGCTCAAAGTTCAGGGCAATCTCTCAATTTTGTGACCGAAACTTGGTGTAGTTTACTGAAAAATGCTCCCCAAAATTTTCTGCTTCCTTGGGATAAGGAGGAAAAAGGAAAGAGAACACAATGATGAGCAATTTCTTTACAACTTCTTTTAACTAGCTGGCTCTACAATAGTAATCATTTGCTCTTAAAAAAAAAAAAAAAAAAAAAATCCCATCCCTGACAAAAAAGCATTTGCAAGAGTAGCTGAGTGTGATGTCCATGCTGCCTGTCACCCCATAGGTTCCACAAACAGACCAGGAAACGAGGAGGAGGAAGAGTTGGAGAGCGCTTGTAGAAATACTCTGTAGGGGGGCAGTAAGAGCAAAGCCAGGATGGTGGAAAGGAAAATGTCAGAAGTTAGTCCCAGGTGTAATACATCGGAGGCCAGATGCATGTTGTGAGAGGTGTCGTTCATGTAATGTTTATGTGTTTTGTTTTCCCTCTGTGAACTTTATGGTAGGCCTTAGCCAGTGAATGCTGCACTCTCCATAAATGCCTAGCACGGCCCGTTGTTGCCTTTCCAAGTTTCTTATTCAACAGCACATTTTTTCCTTGTTTTTAAATGCTTGCTGGAGTCTTAGACTAGGAGTTCTTAACCTAACAATAAAACACCTGCATTTTATTAAGACTTGGGACTTGAGTTCCACCTCCCTCACTTTTACTGAAGTGTTGCCATTAGTCAGGTTAACTCTTTCGTAGTCAGTTTTGCGCTGAAAGTGAAGTTAATTGGCTACATGTAGCTCAGATCCACAATCCTATGCTGTATTGGAGGAGAAGAAAATAGCTCTGAGGCAGACCCAGAGGACTCTGTTTCAGCATCTAAACAGATGTTAAGATACTACAGCCAGCAGTAGCAGCCCCCACACCTCGGTTCTCTTTGCGTTTTCCCTGGCCCCAATGCAAGCTCCATTCAGCCCTGAGGTCTGAGTATCTATCTACACAGACCAGAAGCCCCTCTACAACAGGCCTATCCATAGGCTGAGGGGTGCAGAAGCCCTAAATCGCAGCTGCAAAGCCTGCACCATCCCTAGCACAACAGCCCTGCATCAACATGTCCTCTGACAACATGCAACTTGATGCTAAAATTTTCTTACCAGCCATGCTTGTTTCAGAAGGGAGATTTTTGAATTGTTCCACAGAAGCTTCATTCAATTAATTGGAAAAAAAAAAAAAAAAAAAAAAACTATTTTCCCTGCACCTTCCCTTTGCATTCTCATTCCACTGTCTTAAATGAGAATTGGAGCAGGACTATACAGCGATTTTTGTGCCTGGAGCTCCAAGTGCATTATCCCTATATTAAATTAGAGCAATGCCAGTATATGGATGTGAAGGAATTGCCCAAATTCATTCAGCAGTTCAGTAGAAAGGCTGACAAGTTCAGTTGTCGATGTACTAAGCAACTGCCCTGTTTGCTGTTTAATGTAGCTTAATAAGCAATTATTTTCTAGGTCCCCTCCATGCACATCACAGAAGTACCACACTGCAACGAGCAACAACTGCTGGCAATTTTACCAAATATGATCAGTTCACTGAAGACAGGAGAGAGTAATTTAATACACACAGCCAGGGACTGAAGCTCTGTATACGATGAGCTGATTCCTTCTCTGTTGCTATCTATGTGCTTATGGGCACGTAACTATTTCTTTATGACTCAGCTTCCCATCTATACAAGAGAGAAGTTCTTTGCATCCAGCAGGTGAATCAAGAAGTCATACACTTCTGAGGCTATTCTGGGTTAGTCATTCATCTTAGGACTTTACTGGCACACGTATACAGAGCTAATTGTACTAATCTACATCAGGCCTGCGTGGAGAGAACAAGTACATCAAAAGTTCAGAGGTTTGGAGATACCCAGATACTATAGAGCCATACATATCCTAAGATAAACAGGCAGGTAAATAAATAACTATTGGTTGCTACCCAAATACTGGTCAGGTATAATTAATTCTATAGGTAGCTATTTATTACAGAGTCTGATATATCAGATGCTAGTGTGATTTATACATACCTATAACCATAGTATAGGAAATATAACATACAGTGGTACTCATAAAAGGAAATGTTCAAAGTTTATGTTGCTCTTGTAAACTAATTATTTCCACTCATTCATACTTACCAGTATATAATTTCTAAATTGCGAGGATACCAATAATCACTGAAAATGGACTTATAAGCCCACATCGCAGCAGAGACCGTTTTAGGGACAAAACTATGTCTGTCGCACAGAATGTTAGATGATGTGGGGATCCAGTAGTCTGGGATATGTAGCAGTGAAAGTCATCTGGTGTAAGAGCAGCAGACCACCCCCACGGCTTGGTGTTAGCTCTGACCACAAACCAGGGAGTGTACACTTGTGTGCCCGTTGAGGAGCACAGCTCGCCCTGCCTGCCATTTGGAAAGACAAAGGATGAACTTTAGAGACATAATTTGGAGCAGAACTTTTCATATTTGGATCATGACTCACAAGAGTCTTACTTTTCCATTCAGTGTAAATAAGCACATATGATTATTTTGAATTGCTTTACAAAATATATGCAAACAGCATTTCAAAATCTCTCTTAAACCAAATTGTATAAGTCTCACATTTGTTTGTGTTTGCACCCTTTAACTAGCGTTAGGAAGCTGTGATTTACATTGCTGGGTAAATCACATCTGCTCATAAGCTGTGGTTTTAAAAACGTTGCACATCTGTGGTATCAAATGTGTGCAAATTAGAGAATTACATGACATTACTAGTCACTTACATGCAAATGTAAGCTTCATTTTTTGTGCAGTATTTGAAGTCATGTTATTATGTACCATAAACTGCAATCACCTACTGTCTACTTATACAGCAATACAAAAAGGAATTTATTCCTTTGTAATCATTTTCATACAGCCATATAGTCAGGTACCCCAATCAGGAATGTAGGCTACAAACTGTCAGCTGCCCTGATGCTTGCTTATGGTCATTCTTTATAGGTGGCCTGGTCACCACACTCATTACTTTTGAGTAAATAAAATGTGGAATTTGGTATTCTGGAGTTGTGTTTGTTGGTAAAAGAGGTATTTTCTTTGCAGCAATCTGGAAAAACGGTATTTTTTCAGCTTTGCTTCCTTCATGTATCTGTGGCTTCTTTTTGAAGCTGGTACCAGGTTGACCAGAGACAGCATCTTTTATTCCAAGATCTAGAGATGGGGAAGTGGTATAGTCAGTCTGTGACGTGCTCTATTCCAACACTGCAAAAGGGGGTGTTCCCTATGACACGTCTGCTCTATTCTTCTGCCTTGAGTGTCTCAAGAGAGAGAGCGTCAGCAAGATTTTCCTTCTTCTATTTCACAACCTTGTTCCTATTTTCACATCTTATAAAAAATAACATATATATATACATTTATGCATTTAAATACATTCATAAGAATGTTCTGCTTTAAATTACAAGTCTACATCTTTTCAATCCTCACTCGATTTTCCTTCAGACAGTGGACAAAGCTTTCATCAGAAGACTCAATGTTACTTATAAGCATTATTAATGAAGCTTGACAAAACAATTATGCAGAAGCTATTACCATCTTTACCTTTCATATGGCCAAAATAAATTGCAGATAAATTATTACATGACTCAATCAAAGTTGTACAATGAATTAATGGGAGCAGCTGGATGTGGAGACTAGCAACTTTGACACTCACACTCATGCTGAAATTATGTGCCCTGAAAACACCAGGACTGCCTCAGACCCACTCTACGCTACATGCATTTCTCTCATATGACTGAAGTGTTTTTAGGCTATGAAAATTAAAGAAAAGGAAAAATAATGTAAATCAATGTCTCTTTCTACATTGTTTTCCCTTCTGAGGCTAAAAGATTTTTTTTCTTTTTCTTGTTTTAATTTTTTTCTTACAGTAGATATTGGCAGGCTGAAAGTTGAAATAAAATAGGAAAAAATAATAAGCATATTTTGAGTGATTACTCAACTGGGGTCCTTTGTGACAGGAAATGCAGCTGCGTGACTAATGGGCCTGACTTTCTCTTGGCTTCCTTCCCCCTTCAAAGATCTTGTTTACTGCCCCAGCCAATTTTTTTTTTTTTTTAAATTGCTAGAAGCTAGCAATTTTCCAGGAAAAAAAGATCTTTGCAAGAGGCAAAGGCAGTAAATCTTACAAAGATCAAGGGCTGCAGAGCTCTCCCCCATCTACTCCTTTTAGCCTTCCAGGCTCTCGAGTCACGTCATATCTTCCCTTGCTCCACTCCGAACATGTGTCTAGCAGATCTTTCTGCTTTGGTGAGGGGAGGGAGTATGTGAATCACATTTACAGCATCTAGCCCTGGAATTCATAAAGGAAGGGCTAATTCCATTAAGGAAACCAGGGGCCTCCTAAGCCTCTTGCATTTTCTCTTTTTATTATTTTTTTCTCACTCGCTCTCTTCTAACAACAGTTGTGTGCTCATGCTCCTTGATGACATGGCTGTAAGTGTGAGCTGTTGAGATTTGACACAGCATAGTTCCCTTGCAAGGGGCCACAGAGCTTCAAATGTTTGCATTTGGCCTGCTTTATAGCTCTGCTTCGCTGAGCCTCCCTGGTAACCAAAGCTGGGCTGGGAGCTGAACCTCCCCTGAACTTGATGGGAAGAGGAACCACGCGCTCAGTTTCAGGGCAGGCCCTTCCCCCTGTCGCTCAGTGCAACAAACCCAAGTGCCCTCTCAGTAACTGGGGGCATTGGCGTATGCCTGGGTAGGGAACCCAAGCAAGCAGGGTCTGTGTAGTTCTTTGGAGGGTGTCACCAGGAGATGCACACCCTGAAGGGCTGCGGTACTGAGCCCTGTGGAGAGGGGCTGGGGGCTCAGGGAGGTGTCTGAGGTATGAAGGGGCACAGGGGGCTCAGGGTCTGAGGTATAAAGGGGCACAGGGAGGTATCTGAGGTATGAAGGGGCACAGGGAGGTGTTTGAGGTATGAAGGGGCACAGGGGGGTCAGGGTCTGAAGTATGAAGGGCTCCCAGTGCCCGGTAAGGCAGTGACATTTCTTGGCCCTCAGGTGCTTACTGGTGCATGAGCCTGCGTTGCCAGCAGCAGCATGAGCACCAGCTGTGCCTCAGTGGAAACTGGTAAAACCCTGGACTAACAGCGTTAAGTTCATTCCTGCGAGGAGGTTGGAAAGTCAGCAGCTAGGTAAGCAACAGACTCAGAAATAATGTAAGAGAAGAGGGAACCAGTCTTTTGCTTTCTCAAGAGGCCTTTCTCTTTGGAGAGCTGGGGGATCAAGTCATTGAAAAACAGTTTGAGGGCTGCTCCACAACCTACAGCCCTGGCATGGTTCCCTGTGCCCTGAAGCAGAGGCTAAAAAAGGAGGTGAATATATTCATTACCACAAACTGCATAGCGAAACCATCAGAATGGGTATACTAAAAAAAGAGATGAAACCTTTGCTTATGAATAGACCTAAAAGAATTGAATACATGTGTACAGAGGGATCATTTTCCACTACCTACAAGAGGAAAAACCTCTGGGGAAGTGGCTGATGCCAAATATTTTCTTATGCTTCATGTGTCAGCAGGGTCTGGCAGAAACCCTTAAAAAACAGAGCACGCATTTTGTGCAAGTTGAGAATCACAATTTCTGGTGATTTGGATTGCTTCACCAAACTTGAGACATTTCTCCAAAAATACAGCAGATGTTTGATAGTGGACCAAGTTTTCAGCATTTACACAGATCAGATGATGTTAAGATCAGCAAGAAAAAAAAAAGAAGAAGAAGAAAAAAAAAAAAGAAAAGAAAACAGAAAAATAACAGAATAACAGTAAAAGGCTTCAGAGCTGCCCTGAGAAGAAACTAAGCTGGGTTAGACAGCCAAAAATGCTAATTTTTTGCAACAGATATAAAACGCTGGTGAGAGACATGTCATGGCAATGTATGCAGCAAGGTTACAGAGGAGCTGGGTTGCATGCAGCAGCAGAGGGCACAAGGACTTGCTGGAATGGAAGCCCCAGGAGATGTGTGTGTGACCTGGCTGTGTGACCTGACAACCCCAGGGCACTGCTGTACAAAGACATCCAGTAGACTTTGACTACAAATCTTAACAATTCCAGAAACTGGAAAAGGATGCAGCCCCGAGGTATCTTAGCAGCACACGTGAGACAGAGCTGTCCCCAGAAGAGAACTGGGCTAATCCTCTTGCAGCTATATGCTCAGATCTGCAGGTCAGTAATTTCTGTGCAATGAACAGTAAAAAAGCTGAGTGTCAGGGCGTTCAAACAGAGAAGAAGGATTTGGCATTTGTCCATAAACGTAAAAGGTTTCCTGTCTTTTTTTTTTTTTTTTTTTTTTTTTTTAAGAGAATCCTGTGTTAGAAAACTGACCATAAGCCACTTGCTGCAATTGCCAAAATGGCCTGGCAACCCCCCTCTCCTCATGAACACAAAGGTTTTTTTCCAGTTACAAATTTATGATTTGCAGATTATGAGGGATTTGGCAGGTTCAGACTTAATCCCTAGAGCATTTGATGAAAATGCAATGATGCAAAGTCCAGAGCTAGATTTTGTAGGTGATGATTTGCTTAAAAATTTTGCTTATGGTGGGGATGAGATCCAGCAGAAAGTACATGAGACCATCACAGAATATTCTCAGCCTTGTTCCTGACTTCAGATAAAAGTATGAATAAATGTATGAGAAACTGTATACCCTCTCTTGATTGTTTCTACTTTCCTGAGGTAGCCTTACTATAAGGTCCTAGAAGTAAGAAGATGGCCGGGTGTATCAAGTTTATTGTTACTACACATACTGTGCCTGCTAAGGTAAACAAGCTCTAACAAGGTAGTAGGAATAACTAAATGCAAGGCATCCTCAGTATAGTACAGATTTGGCTCTACCACTCTAGTTCCCATTATTCCTAATCAAATGAGATGGTAGGAAAAAGTATCAAAAGAAGTTGGTAACCACTGAGCAAAAGTGTGGAATTATGCTGTGATCTGGTTTAGGTCTGATAAACTGAGGTAGAACACATGAAGGAAATATGCAAACTACTGACATTTTGCTTGACAGAAAAATTAAACTCTTTTCATTCCTGCAGTCTTTCAACTCCTTGCCATCTCCACGGGTTCCCCTTCAGTCATGGGGGTGTGGAAGAATCGTAAAGAAACAGAGTCCAGGACACAGCAAACACGTAACAAAATGCCACTCCAACAACTGTAGCAGCGATTTTCCAGCTCTGGAGATGCAAGCAATGCTGCCAGGTCCTCAGGATTCACCAAGCAACGTTTATGTGATTGGTTGTAACTGTTTGCAGTTGCATATTAACATACCTTTTCTGAATTTTGATTTGGAAAACTCAGTGATTTTAGAACCTCTGGCATTAATAACTGCCCTTTCCAGTCTGTGAATCTGAATCAGGTGCTGCAAAGCCTCCATTTTATTATGAACAGCCGGATGAAACCAGATGCATAATAAAGCAAATCTTTCACAAGCAGCTTAAGCACTGGATGCACAATGAGGACAACTGCATTTCAGCACAGAGGTGGCTACATTTGAGCCACGGGGAAGTAATTCATTTATACACAAACTTCTCAAGCACTTTGGGATGAAAATACTGTATGGAATCAGTTTAATACACTCATGTGACAGACTCCCATTTCATATTGTTTTCCTATTTTTGCTATGCCAATCATACTGCAATCCTATGCCCTCATTCTGATCGTGCTGGAATAGGAGGCAGATACTTTCAAAAAAGCCAGCAGAATTAAAAACTTGCAGTGGGAATTGTTCCTGTGCGTGCAGCTTGCTCATGCTCAGAAACTATTCATGTTGCATTTCTCTCTCCCCACTTAATAAGGGGCTGCTTGCATTTTGGCCGCATTAGCATGGTTTTGAATTCTGGGTGTACTTTTAAGTAGCACGTCCTAGGCACTGTGTTCTGGTGCATGACAGTCTCCTCGTCTCCTTCGGACTCCTGCCTGCCTTCACCTTCTACTCTGATGCTCTCCTGCCTCTGGAACATCTCACTTCATCAGCACAACCAACCAACCCATACATCAACAGTTTCAAATTCTTCAAATTGAGAAGCCTCAAATCAGGAACAATTTGATAACTTGCTCTCCCCTTTTGTTGAACCCTGTACAAAGGACTAAAATGACTGTGTTGCCTAGTAGGTAAAAAAGGAGACCGGCAGCCCTGGACCACCTTTGGCCATGGACAATACTACTGAAACTAGACATCACATGATGTCTAAATCAGGCGTGTGTTGACTGCACAAGGCAGCTTCACCCAAAATCTAATGCCACTGTGTTACGCAATGGCTGCACAGCCTCTTGTGCCTTTGTTTCTTCATCTGTAACACGCAGACAGTAGCACTCAGCCATCCAAAGGGGTGAACTGAGAGTTCATTGGCATTTTGGAAGACTTTTGATATTCCTGGATGAACAGTGCAGTATGAACAGAAAATAGCTGTCATTGTTTCTTCCTTTTTTAGTGACATCCCTCTGATATTGCGCTCTCACATTCCTGAGTTAAGCTTGCTTGATTTTGCCTGGGTTTAAAATCTGTTTTCTTCCTCAGAGAGGATGCTATAATACACCTGTAAACACAGCAAGTCTCAAATGTTCAGCAGCCTTGCACTCAAGGCAAGCTGCCTCCATCTGACCTTCCTCATCTTTATTAATATACTCAAACAAAGACAGCTAGAACAGTTTAATACGGGCATGTTTTGTACTCCCTGCAGCCCTGTGCATTTTAAAGGCCAGAAAGGACATTCTCTGCCCCAACAAATGATTCAGCGTAGATTAGAAGCTTTGGTTTATAGAAGAAACCCTGCAATTCGATACCCATGTGATAGCACCTTTTGACAGTGAGGTACAGTCCCAAGCTTGAATATAGATTCCCACTCCAGGAACTGAGCTCTATGTCTACAGGCCTTCTAGAGGCCTTGTGCATACAACCACCTCTTTGTTGCTCCATCTGTAAAACTGGGGTTGTAACAGAGGGGTTTAGAGAAGTTCAGCTCTAGAAGTTTTTACAAATGTTAAATATTGCTTGTTTCAATCTTGTTCTGTTACAAAGAAGTCCTGCAATTCTTCCATCCTCTGCTGTTAAAAAACTGCTCTTCTCTTTGGGTCTTTATGTTACTTAAATTGTACATAGTAGATTTTTGCAGATTTGGAGTGGAGGAAGAGGGGCGTTTAAGAGAGCAAGTAACAGTTTTGCAAGTAAAAGTGATGGAATTGCTGACAAAAGGTTTGAGCTGATGTTTCCATGTATAACTATCCCTGTTTGTGCTCTCCAAGCAGCTCTGACTGTGATGGGTCCTCTTTCACGTATATTTAGGACAGAACAACTTGTGTTCAGAAGTATCAGCAGGCACTAGAAGCACACGCACCAAGTGTTAGGTTCCCCGTAGCTCTAGAATTCCCCCCTCCGCAGGGATGGTTCAAGCCAGCGATGCCATCGTGAATGGATGAGAAGAAGGAAAACATTATTAATAACAGTGGCTAACGCAAATGATGACGTTAATGACCGTATTTGCATTAAGATGGTGACTGTCGAGCCTGGTCTCTGGTTTTCCATGAGGATCTCTGTGCTAGAGCATCTGTGTGCAGGGCAGAGCCCCTGGGGCAGGTGGCTGGAGATATTCCCTGGGGAGTGGGGACTCCTGAGGAGAGCAGACTGAGCTCTGTTTCCAGAGGGGCTGGGGGAAGCAGATTTGCCCCGCTGGCTGCTGTAGCCAGACCTGGGTCTGTGGAGACCTCAGCACAGAGGAAAAGCCCTTCTGTCCCTCCTGCGGCCATGCTGAGCTTGGCTGGAGGAGTGGGCCTTTGTCATGCTGGCTCTGCCCCTCATCTGCCCCCTGCAAAGTCATGCTTGGAGAGACAGCGGTTCCCTTCAACACAGACATTCACACGTAGCTGATGGAACCGGGATTATTGCAGCGATTGGGGGAAAAAGGGAAAGTGTGCATTGCCAGGCTGGATAAAACGTAAGGCACTGTTGGCTTAAGGTAGGCAGAGCTGCTGCCAGATGAAGCATTTGCACCTGGCCTGACTGGAAATCCGTGGGGCAGAATATTCCTGCTGAAGTATTTGTGTTGCCATTGGCATGGCAGTGGCTTGCCCGCACGTACTCAGACACCCAGGAGGCCAGGGCTCAGGGCTCCTCAAGGAGGTCAGTTTTTATATAGCAAAGCAAACAGTTTAGCTAATCAAGGATATTTTTTCTTTTCTTTTCTGAGACTCCTGGCACCCGGCCCTGTTACTTGCAATCTTTAATTTGTACTGTGGCTTCCTTTTCCCTGCTGCCTTCTCACTCCAATTTTCCCACACACTTATTTCCTAACTCTACCTCTTATGGAGGTCTTCATTTATTTCAGACCCAAATTTACCTCAATCCTACACAACGCTCTTGTTACCTCACCATTTATTCCTGTAAGTGACTGTCATCAGAGCTCGATGAGCTTGACAAGTTTATGAAAAAAAAAAAAAAAGAAAAAACAGTTGAGCTATTTTTTGTGTGTTGTAGAAAATAGTTGATGATAACAAGGTACTTGTAACTTTATTCATATGCACATGTAGAAATTGATTGTGGATCAGCTTGGACCTTCTTTTTGGTTATGTAGCTGTCTGAATGTCAAAACTGGATTGCTAGGGGTGGGCTACAAACTGTACACACCACTCACAAGATGGCCATGGGGAAGCCTGTGACCATACAGTTTCTACAATAAGATAGAAGACTCTGATGAATCAAAATCACATTTTAGCAGATTCTCCCTCCCATCTCCCTACAGCTAAAAAAACAAAACATAGGGAAGAGATAAAGGCACTTTTTCTAGTTAACACAGCTATATAGTCCACGCCACTTACCCTGTGTAATTTGTGTAGAGAAATGAAGGCAACATGCAAATAAACATCTCAACTAAAACATTAGCAAAATCCCAGTACAAATATACAGCTGCATACTCCATCTGGCAGAGGCTGGCTTGCTTGAGAGTTGATAGTAAGATGCACAGGAACATGGGCCAGAAGTGACCCACCTGTTCACCAGGTTCTGTCCCAAGAAACCACCTTTAAACAGGCTTTTCTAAAAAGCTGCACAGAACCCAAAGCGTTCCCTCAGTCTGCCTGCACCTTTGGAGCTGCAAAGCACTACCATCTTGGAACAAATGCGCAGCCTCTAACGCAGACATGGATCCACCTGATTTCATATCGCTTCAGGTAAACAGCTCTTCTCCTTCCCTGTGGTTGTTTCCAGACCCATTTCTAACGAACTCTTCAGCCTCTGACTGCAGCCCAAGTTGGCAGGGCAGCACTTTTCAAGCCGTGAAGCAAGCTGCGAGCAGCTAATGAAGCCTGACACACATTCCACATATTTTCTTACACGCAGACACAGAAAAATTTTAATGAATTGAAGTGAAGTGGGGCTAGAAATGCTGGGAGGCACCGAGCTAGCATGTAGGACGACCTGCGTGCAGATTTTGTGCAGGCCGGCAGACCACAGCCCAGGTCCAGCAGACAGCGTGTGACGGGCTCTTACTGCTCTCTGGCAAAAAGTCCCCCGGACTGAAGACAGCCACACACCAGAAAGCTGAGCCTGCCAAGATGCACGCTGTACATGCTCTGTGAGGCAGTCGGCCCAGCACTTTTCATTATTTTCAGAATCCATCACTGAAGAAAACACAGCTCTTTATAAGGTGGGACATGTTTTAAAAGAAAAGTTGGGGCAGATTCAACTGGTATAAAGCTGCATAGCTCTATTAAAGACCAGGGGGTGTTGCTGATTTGTACCAGCTGAGAAGTTGGCTAATATTCCTTTGGAGCCACCACCTCTCCCCTGCGCAATTGCCAGCTGAAACACTGGGAAATGCAAGGAGAAATGAAAAATGGAGCACATTTATGTGAAAAAGCTTCGATGCAAAACAAATGTCTGCTCACTGCACATAAGCTGAAATAATACAGCCGTTATTGGAACTGTGCTACAATAAAACAAACTGGATGAGTCAACCTAATCTCCACTGGCTGCCTTTCCGGTCCCCAAGCTCCCCATCTATTTTTATCTCTTCTTTTTTTAATATACTTTTTGGTTTACAAGCAATAAATCTACAGATCTTGGGTCCCCTGTGTGCGCTCTTGCCAGCAGGCCACTCAGCATTTAGGATGTTACCCAGACCGTTACAGCTATCAGACCACAAAATCCGGAGGCCAGGATTTGGATTCAGGAGATGCCATGGCCCAAAGAGCATGGCAGTGCCTACTGATAGCGTGGGGCATGGCAAAGCCTTCTGTGCTGATGGCAAGTATGCAACACACAGGAGCAGCGTGGCATGCTCTTTGGGTGGCCTTAGAGTACCTGAGGGAGCCCAGCTGAGCCATTTCAGCTTGTAGGAGCACAGCAAAGCACGCTCTGGTAATAGATGGGCATCAGTGCAGATGCCTGAGGAGTTTCGGGGTGAGCTTCCTTCCAAACCTGCAGGAGTGCAGCTTTGGTCCAGTGCTCCAGCCAAGCTTCATGACGCAGTGTAGGGCACATCCAGAGAGAGCAACACGTGATGTGTTCAATGGTCGTACGACGAGTAGCAGAAGAGCCAACAGTAAAATGGCACTGCCAGTCAGAGCCTGCTTCTCCGACTGTACAAAACCAATGCTGTTCCTTTTTTTCCTGGGTGGGGAGATTGTTAGGTTAGCTAACCATGTCCAGTCCACCTTAGGATTTATGTTACCTACCATAGGATACGATTTGATTTCAGAATCACAGGGCAGGTGATGGGAGCTACGTTCACGACAAAAAGTTTTACTGATGTTTGTTGGCTCGGTGTGGTAGCGTTCTCCTGAGAAAAGTGTGGGTGAGATCTTGGAATCACAATGCTCCTGCTTCATTTTTCTCTGGTAACCAAATTAAGATCTTCGTAATGGAGCCATTATTTTTCTAATTTTTCTCTGTCCTCTTTAATGATTTCATTACAGACACATACAACTAGTCACCTTGAGCTCATACATGCTGGGAAACATCTGTTAATTGAATATGAAGATAGCCAGAGTGTTATAATGGAAGGAAACTACTGGGATATGATGCTTGCATACAGCGTTCTCTTTCATTAGAAGAGTACGTGCTTCAGGGAGCAAGGGAGAAGAATGTATGAATTTAATTTCAGACATTCACTTTTTAGGTGCCCCCAAGGGACGTACCCGTTTCCTATATAAGGTTTGGTCTGTTTGCAATTAAGCTCTCTTCTTTGCATATTTCCGGATAGATTAAAAATAGCAAAATCAGCTTATTCTTGGACTTCTGGAGATAAACAAAGCCATTGCTTCCAGGGGTTTTAAGACACTGATCAGGTTTACAGATCTTGAAGGCAGAATTTGTCCATGAATTTTTTTTACGCTGGATAAACAATAATTTCCAAAGAGAACAGAAAAGGTAGGAGCATATTTCTTGAACTGGAGGCCTTTTAAACCAACTAAATTTTCAGCCTTTGTTTTTACAAAACCCTAATGTTGATAAAAAATAAAGTTGAATGCAGTTTTTATGCAGGAAGCTCAAGACCCGTTCAGTCCGCTCCCAGCACTCCCCCAACCAGTGGAACAATTCCAGAGCAGAGAGGCTTGCTGAGCTCCCATTACAGTTCTCCTCTTATTCTTTTTCTGTTGGGATTACCATCATCAATCCATTTAATCCAAAACGTAAAGCTGTTTTTTGTGATGCAGCCATCCATTCTCAAGGACCTTGACAGAAACAACTCATTTATAACGGTGCCTAAATTGCTATCAGATGGGAATGATTCCCAAACACCCCTAGCACCCTGAGGTTGGATACACGATAGTGATCTACACCTGATCATTTCTTCCCTGCTGTTCAGGTCTCTGCCCATTTGCAGATATTACCCAGAACAGCAGCCATTTTCCAAAGGAGTGGCTGATGACTACGTTATGAATTTGCCTCCTGAAAATGTTTTTGCTGTTTTCAGTTATCTTGTGCAGATTCCTCAGCAGTCACTGGACCCTGATGGATACATAGACAATGGAATAAAAGCCACTGATATAATGGTTTTAATGTTAGTTATTCACACTCTCCAGTGCCTGTTAGGCATTTGCTTTCAGAGGACTTCATTCCCCAACAAAAATGTTGATGGATATTGAAACTGATGATTCAGGAGGGAGAGAAGATTACAGCACTACAATATCCAAGCAAACAAATGGACACATTTATTGTTCAGTAGTACATTCCTTGGAAAATTTACAGGGCCATTAGTAGAGGGGAGGAAAAAGTACAGTTGAACAAGTTTCACATTAAATGGCCCATACCATGAGGCTATGCTTTGTTCCTCCTCTGTGCAAAGCAGTAGTAACAGCATGGTGGAAGGACATATGGCCCATTCCACACCTCCAGTGAAGGCAGGAGGATACTTCCAGACCACTCTTGATTCCCAGGAATGTATCTCAGCCTAGGAGCCATAATCCTTACGGGCACAAGCAACTTCGAAGTCAGTGGGACTGTTCAATAGGGCTGTTGGTAAGAGATGATGGTGCAAACTAGCCCCTTGTTTTGGTAAAGAGAAGCAGAGAAGCAAGTCCTACTGTTCTAACAATATATACTTCTCCTCTCACCTAACAAAGACTCCACTGTGTCACTCAGACAAGAGGCATAAACAGACCTCACAAAATAATAATAAGGACTTCTGAAAAAGCAGGACAGAATGTGTTAAGGTTGTTTTAAACACTCTTGGAACTAAAACTGCTCTTGATACTATTTGTCTGTCAGCAATGTTAAAGACATGGGCTTCCTTCTGCCTCTAAAGACTCAAATTTACGAGCTCCAAAATGTGCTCCTGCACATTTCCAGGACCTTTGTTGAAAAAAAACCACACCACCACCCAAACAACAGAATAACCTTCTGTCCATCAAGCAAGATTTCCCAACAATTACAGTACCAGGCACAGAGAACTCTGCCTGCCTGGCCCACAGCCACACCACGGGCGGCAAACTTTCTAACTCTCACCAACTAATTAGGTTCAGGTCAGGTATGTGGCTGGGAGAACTCCAGGGAGGGTGGAGGGTGAAGCAGGAAACAGTGCTGATGATTCAAGCGGGGATCATCTTGACAACACTTCTTAAGCTGTTTCTTCAGAAATAAGTTTTGGCTGTGAAAGGCAAGTGATCTTATTTCTAAGAAAACAGAAGGAGACAACTTTCTGGTAGAAAAAGGAAAGTGGGAAGGACACTTTGTTTAGGAAGTAAAGAAACAACTGATTCATTCGTCACAAATTTTAGGATGACATTTTGGAGTCTCTAGCAGGGGAGTGGGGCAGGTGACAAGAAGGCAGAAACACTTCTATTATCAGCTCTCAAGGCAGTCTTTCCTTCTAGTAAGAAACTACAGTTGCAAGGGAAGTATTTTTGAAATTTCAGCACGACTTCCTGCACACAAAAGAGACAGCACAGGAGTGACTTTAATCAATGTATGCATATGTAATCAGAGGGATGAAAAAGACTAATTACTGGGTTTTGTGTTAGATATTACAAACTCTTAGTAGTATACACCTAAGGCTACGTAGTGCTGCTGTGTGCCATTCTGTACTGTGAGGAGCAGCTTGAAGTATAACACGCTCCCCCAAAGCCATAAAATTACAAGCCAAGGTTCACAGCAGCCACAAGCAATCTCAGTGCAGTCCCATCCCAACACTGCAACCAGCTCCTC